TTTATAATAAAAAAATAATCTTTCCATATATGCCTAAGAATATAAATTTAAAAAATTCCACAAAAAAGGACCCTAAACTTTTTTCTTTTTCTTTTTTTTTTTTTAATTTTCACTTTCTTGGTAATTTTTTAGGTTGTAAAGTCTCATCTGCTTTTGTTTATTTATTTATTTTTAGGTTGGAACCTCCTATGTTTTATTAGCCTTTGAGACAAATAGCATCCCAAAACCCTGCACGCGTTTGGGCATACCAATCTACCAAATCATGTCCGTTAAACACCATTACTCCTCCTCTCCCTCCTTCCCGGCTTGCTTCCGCCCTTCTACCACAACCGACAACCACCAGGACCCTCCGCCGCCGCCCCCGGGGAAGCCGAATCTCACCACATGTCTCTACGATACCCAACTAGGCCTCTTTTCCCTTACCTGGTCTCGCACCTTCCTCGGCTACTCCCTCCACCTCAACCTCCACCCTGCCGCCCACTGCTCCTCCCCTCTGTCCCTGCCAAATTCTCTTTCATTTTCGCTTCTCCACTTTCACCTCCACATCAAACCCTTCCTCTTTTGGAAAAAACAGGGGCGTAAAAAACTGGCCGCCGCCTCAATCCCTAATGCCTACATCTTCTGGGACTTATCCCGGGCTAAACTCGGATCTGGGCCCGAACCCGAATCGGGATTCTACATCGCCGTCGTGGTCAAAGGTGAGATGACACTTGTAATCGGGGATTCTACCAAACAGGCTTTTTCCAGGACGAGAGCTCAGAAGCCCCCGAGGAGCCAAGTTCTGCTCTTGAGAAAGGAACATGTGTTTGGGAACAGGGTTTACACTACGAAGGCAAACTTCGGGGGAAAAAACAGGGAGATTTCCATAGATTGTAGGGTGAATGAGGATGCGAAGCTCTATTTCAGCGTCGATAACAGGAGGGTTTTGCAAATTAAGCGACTGAAGTGGAAATTCAGGGGTAATGAAAAGATTGAAGTTGATGGGGTTCCGATTCAGGTCTCCTGGGACGTTCATAACTGGTTGTTTGATCGGGATTTGAACGGTGGGCATGCCGTCTTCATGTTTAAGTTCGAGAATCGCGGCTCCGTTGAGCAAGAAGATGAAGATCGGAGTTTCGACGAGAAAAACGGCTTGGTCTTGTGGCAACAGAACTCGGGTAGCTTCAGCATGAACCCAACAGAGTGGAAAAAGATGAGGAAAAGCAGCTTCTTGAGGTCAACGAGGAGTTCATCTTGGTCGTCCATTTCTTCGGCGTCTTCAGGGTGCAGTTCCTCCGTGATGGAGTGGGCCAGCACGGAGGAGAACGAGCTGAGCAGCCCCAGTGGGTTCTCCTTGGTAGTCTACGCCTGGAAAAAGTAAAGAACTTTCCATTTCTTCCATTGATGAAACCTGAATCCTCTGTTTTCGGGTAATGTTGCAATTCCATGTCTCACTAACCCATTTGTTCTTGAACATAGTAGAATCAAAATTCTAGAGAAAGAGCTAAAAACCATAGAAAGAGAGATATATAGATTAGATCTAACCCAATTCAGTTCTTGATCTTCTTCTTCTTCTTTTTTTCCTTTTTCCTTTTCCTTTTTCCTTTTTTAAATCACTGTAATCGAAATTATTAGCAGTAGTGATCAAATCTTTGATTTAGATTGTGAAATTAAGAGGAAGAAGCAATGAAAATTCCATTCTTTCACTTCTGTTACACAAAATTTTAGCCTGTCTGATTAATAGCTATAAAAACAGGGGTTGTACTAGGTTGGGAAAAGAAACAGTTGTGCCCTTGAACTTAGATAAAGTTGTCAAGTAAGCCTCTACATTAAATTTGTTACTAAATAAGAACCCGACTGGTATAAAACAGTGATAAAGGGACCTTTCCAAGGAAAATTTTTTAAATTAAGTTTCTACATGTGCAAACTCCAAAACTCTAGTAGAGGAATAGCTTGTTACATGCACATGCTTGTCTAGGTGGTGATCCTTTACATCACTTCGCATTGTATGTGTTAGAGGAAAGATTCACCTGTGAGTTAGAGAATTGATAGATGTGCAGAGATCTCTTAAAAAAAAAAAAAAAGGAAAATCATAAACTCGATAGATATATATTTCAAGTTTAATATGACATTTTCTCATATATGTTTGTACTTTTTAAATTAAATCAAGTATTGTATACTATATGTAATTACTTATAAATAAAACAAAAAAATTAAATGAATCGTTCAAAATATATTCCACAAAAAATTTCATTTTGTTGAAACTAATCAAATAGAGAGAAGCAAAATTATTAGAAAATAATCATTTATTGTCTTCTATTATTAAATTCTTTATACAAATAATTGGTGTACAATTTATATTTGCCTTTTAGTCATCTAAATGGCAAGTTCTGAAAAGCCAAGGTTCTTAGCTTTTTAGTTGTGATTTGAACAGTTTGGGTGAATATAAATATTGATATTTTAAAAGAATTATCATTGGGATGAGAACAAAATATATAAAATGATTCAAGTAAGGTCTTTTGCTTAGTTAAAAGATCAGCTAAGCAAAAGATCAGCTTCAAGATGCATTATTTGCCTTTTGTGACTGATTCCAATTCTCAAGTTCTGATAGCTACTCTTAAGAAATAATTTATGTTAGATTGTGTAATATTAATTATAAACTTATGTAAGAATTGAAGGTTGATGTACTCCACATAATAATAATTTTTTTGAGTAAAAATAGAGGTAAATATGATAATTGAAATTTGAAAATATACTCATCTTATATTTTTTTTGTTCAAAGTTACTATAAATTAATTTTAATAAATTAATATTAAAAATGTAATTAATTATATAAAAAAATAAAAAAAAATTTAACTTACAAGTCAATTCATGACTTATTAGAGTCAGGTTGAAACTAACATTTATTGATTTACAATCTATATATGACCTAACTCATAAAACCCGTAGTTCGAGTGAAACTCAACCGCCCGTTTGCCACCTCTATCTTCAATGCATGTTATTTGAGAATGGCATTGGGACTTACTTGACAACAAAATTACTTTAGAAATTAAAATGCTACAATTGTAAAAGCTTTGGGACAAAAGTACAAATCTCTCGGTTCTTCATTTGTTTTGCCCTTTTTTTTTCCCAGGTCGGACAGATGCATGTGAGGTTGGATCCCTTTTTGCTTGTCGTGTCTTTATTTGAATACTTTATTACTTTTCGTACGATCTTTGGATCCTATCTGTAACCAAATAACCATAAGCAAATTGAAACCTCTTTGGATCGCTGAAAAATGTACAGTTAAAAAATTCCTTAACTTCTTTGAACGGTTCCTAAGAACCATAACAATTTAGTACCCGATCAAAGACGGCGTCTACTCAGGTGATTGAGTTGCGACCTTTACATTGTTTCTCATTTTTGACTCTTTGAATCAGTTCTCTCAATTCAATGTCTCATTGATTATACAACAGAAAAGTTTATCATTCATTTTAAGATTGGAAATTATAATTTTTAAATAAAAATATAAGTTAGTTTTTTAAAAATATTTTATAATAAATTATATAATAAAAAATTTTCATAATTTATTTTTTCAAATTCAAATTTAAAAATTTTAAATTACAACATTAACTATAAAACTCTTATTCATTGAGTTATCCCTTAAAAATGACTCTTTAGATCTGTTTGAACAAAGAAAACTAAAAGGAAAATGATTCTGGTGGCATTTTTTAGAACAAGCACAACAGTGTGCTGTGCACGCCTTCCTTTTGATATGTTGGGATGGGTGGCTGAGCTTAGACGGCACTGTGTTTTCTTTGCTTATTCAAAAGAGATTTTAATGATGATTAGGAATTTATAATACACTAAAAAGAGGTTGTCTTCCAGCTTTCAAGCATCGATTGGCTGTCTGTGTCTGGTGAACTAAAAACTGAAGATAGGTTGGACAAATCATTAATGTCTGCTACGTTTGATAACGTGGTTTGGTTGTCATATTAAAACATGTTAAGTCTATGGTTTGCCTTTTTCTTCTCCAGGACAACTAGGAAAGCAACCTGATACCGACCGTCCTTGGTACAGTACCTGTAAGAAATTTCTTACCCCTTGAAATGAAAGGGTATAAACAGTAAAGATTCTGATTCCTCAATGAGTCAACTTTAATTAAGTTTTTAGTTCTCCATTTCATGTGGTAAAGGTTGTTATGTTTGTCCAGCTGCTAAGACTTCTTGGGAAAATTAGTGAGAACTAGAAAATCTTGTTCTTTTCATAATTATATTGTACAGCCAACAAATATGACTTGTACTTAGCAGCTAATTGTGACTTAGATAAGTGATTAAGGAAGAAAAGAAAAGCATGATTTGGTTTTAAGAATTCCATCCTCAAAATGTATCTGATGGTGCAAATCTATGGACCTGTATTCAAGATCAATAGTTTCAATCATCAGAAAACATCAGAACATATTTATATTTTACAACGAAACACTGCACAATTTCTAAGCAAACTGTTTCCGTAAACATTAAGAAGTAAAAAAGAAAAGATCAGATTACCATATAAAAGCATGGGGCAGAAGTGAAAATTGCAATTGTTAAACCTCAACTGTTGTTCACCATTGAGATTTTAGAACCTAGCAAAGTTTCAGGGGCAGCTTGATGTTGAAGAAGAATGTAGAAACAACGATCGCTGAGGAAGACAGTGCCTTTGTCTAGTATTCTGTATCTCGTGATCTGGTGGGAAAATTTCCAAGGAAGAAGGTAGAGCGGAAGTAGAGGGAAAGCTACTTTGATGCCTTCGTAACTTCTTGTCTCCTTCCTGAGCCCTATCTTCTGATCTCACTTGATGAACTTTGGTCTCGTTCAGCCCCGCTGGAAGAACACAATTGCAGAGTAAACCTGCGCATTCATCACAAACAACATCATGAATTTGAGCAAAAGACCCATAGATCAAGTGGAACAACAAATTAAATCTCAAGTTATTTTGCCCTGCCTGCTTCTAAGTGAGATGTGTATTACTTGGACAAAGGGTGAATCGAGTAATTTGAAAGCCTATCAGAGCACAGCGTATCATAGTAGAGCTTACATAATGGCTATTTACAGTTCGGAGGAAACGGAATGTGCCAAAACCACTTGCTAATGCTTCTTCAAAGCACAGTTCCCTTAACTTTGTTTCATTGTCTTCTACTTATATGCTGTAGTCCTCTCATTGTTGCAAAAGAAGAGACATTAAGCCTATGGTGCATCGTTTTGACCAGGATAATAGCATTAGAGTAGAAAACATGCTGAAACAATCAATAGCGAGTGCTATGCTACTGTCTAATGTTTCTTAATCTTCTAACCACTAGCAGAGACACTCAAATTGAAATAGTGGAAAATGGTTAGCAATGACAGATTATTTGATCAGTGAGCTCCTACCTAATCTAGCAAGTCGATTGACCCAGCGTGGAATTGGCTTCCCTGTCAGTTTAAGACACACATCGTTGCAGAAATGGTTGCAGTTCCTGGTGATAAGATGATATGTATTTCCAGAGTATTCTTCAGCTAATTTATCCATAAAAGAACGAACATCTTTAGGGCCTAAGTCTGTTCTTCCAATCAAAATAGATTTCCTGAACCTGAAACCTGGACACAGCTTCGGTTCCACTTCAAAAACCCCCGTAGTTGCATACTCATGAGCTCCAAAACCGTATTCAACACCATGAACTACAACAGAATCACAAAAAGAAGCAGCTCAAAACACAAAAGAAGCATAAAATAAACCAATTTGGTTGCCATGGATACCAAAATCATTTCTTTTTAGGCCTTACACTCTGTTTGGTGCTGAGAAAAGTAAACAAACAATTTTTCCCCATCGAAATTACTCAAATTCAGCTTATTTAACTACTACATTATTGATTACAATATTGAACACCTTTGAGCAGAAGTGTTTATTTTCTCGAACCCCATGTTCTCAGAACCCAGAACATGGCAAAAATCTAAGAAACTAAAATTAAACCTTTTTCTTATAGCATGTATAAAAAAAAAAAAGAAAAAAAAAAGAAACAAAATTTAGAAAACAGTAGAGTAGGACTTCCATCATTTTCTTTTCTGGATCCCAAACTGGAAATTCAAATATCCATCTATTACTTTCCCATTGACCAAACAGAGAATACAAGGAAAAAGATAGAAACCTAAGAATCAAATCCAGAAGCTTACACCAGATAAAAACACATACTATTTTGAAAACCCACATCTTTTTTTTCTCTCTACTTACAGTTTTCTTTCTCAGCAACCAAACAATTTCCAAATAAACAGCTTCAAGTTAATAAAAAGGAAAATAGCACAGAAAAAAACGAACCTTGAACCCCAGAATGATAGATCCCAAGTCCAACCCAATAGGCATAGCCATTAATAGGAGTCAAGTCATACACATTCAAGTAAACCGGAATTGCCCCGGCTTTCTTCTTCCGCGGCACCAATACCATTCTGCAAAACATCTTTAACTATCCTTTTCTTCTTCTTCTTCAGTTTCCTTGCTTCAAGCAACTGAAATAATCTCAGATCACAAAAGAGAACTGTGGCATGGCGTATGCGCAAATTAAGGGAAGTATGAGGGACAGGTGGGGAAATCCAAAATCTTTCTTTCTTCTGAAAATTTAACGGCTAATATATATATATATATATATATAAGCCAAAAATTATAGTGCAGTTTGTTTTGTATTGGCAGTAGTATATTAATTATTAAATAAATGTTAGACTCTTAAAAATTAGAAGTTTTTTTTTTAATTAAAAATTTCTGTTTTATAATGTAATATTGTTCATATTATAATATAATATTCCTATATAGGAAATGGAAATTGAATAAACTTATGATTTGTTTGATGTGGAATTTTATGAGAAATTATTAATTCAAAAAAGTATAACAGTCCGATTTGCGTCAGATTGTATGATAGATTTTTTTTTAATAATTGTCACTTTGATATTTTTTTCTTTTTTCAAATTATAGATTGTTGAATAATTTATATATTTATTTATATTATTCTTAATATATAAAAATTAAATACAGATTTTTATGATAAAATAATTAATTAAAATAAAAAATATTTTATCTGCTTTAAAAAAATAATTAATTTAAGATAAATTTAAAATACAAAAATAATAATTATTTTGAGACTAAAATTATAAATCATTTAGTTAGGTTTCTTGACATTAAAAGCAATCCTTCCCATTCTTGATTTATAGTCTGCAATTTGAATTAAAAAATAAAAATTTTCTTTTTTTAAATGTTGCAAAAAAACTCTCACTATTTTGAGATATTTTTAAGTTAAATCATTATTTTGGTCCCTTAATTTTTAATTCTAAATAGATTAATTATTAAACTTAAAAAAAATTACCAAATTCATTCTTTAACTTTACTTTTTCATTCAAACTTCGCCCTTTTGTAAATAAAAATGCCTATACGACACATTAACTTGTCATGAATTAACATTTTGAAATTAAAAAAAAATTATGTAGAAATTCTAAAGTAATAAAGTTGATAACATTGTCATATTTTTTAGTGCAAATAAATAATTTTAGCAAATTTGACTCACAAACAATTTTTATTTAATTTTCATAATTTATTCAATTTTCATTTTCCATTATATATAAGACCAATTTGGTAATATCTTAAGTTGAAAGACTAATTTGATACAAAATTGAAAGTTAAGGGACCAAAATTCGTGATACAACGTTTTTTAACCGTCCAATATAATGTTACTCTTTTCTTACTTTCCACAGGAAGCCGCAA